AGCAACAGGATGACTTCTTGAAGAAGATCATCGAAGAAAGGGAATCTAAACCGAGACCAGATTTCAAATTTGAAAATAATGTACTGAAGTTTCAAGAAAGATTGTGTGTACCGAATGATACTGAACTGAAAAGAAGAGTTCTGCAAGAGGGCCACAATTCAAAATTTTCTATCCATCCAGAGAACACGAAAATGTATCAAGATCTGAAACTGAATTTCTGGTGGCGGGAATGAAGAAAGAAATTGCTGATTTTGTGTCAAAATGTCTTCATTGCCAACAAGTCAAAGCCGAGCATCAACGACCCGCAGGCTTATTGCAGCCCTTACCGATACCGGAGTGGAAATGAGAACATATTACCATGGAATTTATCGTTGGATTACCTCGCTCTAGTAAAGGTATGGACTCAATTTGGGTTATTGTTGATAGACTGACTAAATCTGCTTACTTCTTACCTGTTAAGACAATTTATAATGCGGACAAGTTGGCTATACTCTATATTGATGAAATTGTTAGACTGCACGGAGTGCCTGTGTCCATTGTTTCTGACAGGGATTCGAAGTTTACGTCGAGATTTTAGCAAAGCTTACAAACTGCATTGGGTACTGAATTGAAATTGAGCAGTGCTTATCATCCTCAGACCGATGGCCAGTCAGAAAGAACCATCCAGACTCTAGAGGATTTACTGAGAATGTGTGTCCTTGATTTTTAGGGAAACTGGGAAAGCCATTTGCCATTAGCTGAATTCGCCTACAATAACAGCTACCATTCGAGTATTGGTATGGCGCCTTTCGAGACACTGTATGGCAGAAAATGTAGATCTCCGATTTGCTGGGCAGAAATTGGAGATGGGCCTTTGCTTGGGCCCGAGATTGTTTATGAAACAACTGAGAAAGTGAAACTGATACAACAGAGACTGAAAACCGCTCAGAGCAGACAGAAAAGTTATGCTGATGTTAGAAGACGAGACAGAGAGTATGAAGTGGGTGATCACGTTTTTGTGAAAGTGACACCGATAAAAGGTCAGACTCGTTTTGGAGTCAAAGGCAAGTTAGCGCCGAGATATGTCGGATCGTACGAGATTATCGAGAAAATCAATCCGGTGGCGTATCAAGTTGCGCTTCCTCCTGAAATGGAGCATATGCACAACGTCCTCCACATTTCTATGCTGAGGGACTACCTTCGGGATCCTTTCCATGTAATAGAGCCAACTCGTGTAGTGCTGAGTGACGACTACACTTTTGAGGAACGGCCTATTCAGATTGTAAACCGACGGGTTAAAAAGTTGAGAAACAAAGAGATCCCGTTAGTGAAAGTCGACTGGAAAAACCATGGTGGCGTGTATGCCACTTGGGAAAGGGAAGATGACATGGCTAAAAGATACCCTGAACTATTTCCACTGAACCCTGTTTTCTTCCAGAATGAAGGTAACTCGAGTTTAGAGGACTAAACTCTTTTTAAGGAGGGGAGACTGTAACAACCCTCGTTACTGTTTACCGATAAACTACTGATTACCGTTAAATTGACTGATAAGTGAACTGAATAAACTACTGAACTGACTGACTGAAATTGAAACTGAATTGACTGAGTATATCTGTTCAATTGTGTGTCTATTTGTTTGATTGTTTGATTATCTGTTTGTGTTTTTATGTTTGAACTGCTAATTGAAGGTCTTATCGGCGGCCGAACCGAAAATCGATTAATGTTTCATGATCCTCATAATTTATAGGATTTTATGGTATATTTACCTGAAAACTGATTAGGTATGATTAAATTAGATTAAAATGAGCTTAATTGCATAGTTGGCCTTATTCACCATTTTGCCACCGTTAGTGGACCACTAGCTTAGCACTCTTGAGACTCATTCCTTTGTATCAAAACACACCTCATCAGCCTTTTTGTTGTCTTCAACCGACCAAGGAAGAGAGTGAGGGAAAGTTGAATTGTTCTAGAGAATTGGCTTGGAAGACTTGAAGGGATCATAGGAGAATTGCCTAATTGGACTTCTATACTTGTAATTGAAGCTCTAGGTGAGGAATTCAACCTCTCATTATTGTGTTTAAGTGGATTCTTGCATTGTTCATGTCTAAATTGATGAATTGAGTCATGTTCTAGTCCTAGCATGTCAAATTGAAGCTCATTCCATGCATGCATGTTTGAATTGTTGAGTTGTGAGTTGATTTCATGGTAAAATGTTACATGCATGTTCATATTGTGTTTAAGTCCATGATTTCATCTTGTCTTTGGGAGAATTGGCTCACTAGAGCATGAAATTGAAGCTTTGAATTGGTGTTTGAAGTGATGTGATAAAGAAGCGATGCGATTTAAATAAGATGATGTGACTTAAATAAGATAGTGACTTGTTGACTTTTTTAGGGATACCAAACCTAGCCTAAATTATTATTTTTACCAATTGCACATATTTGAACATTATATACTTTCTCAAAAAGCTTTGAATCATATTAAGTATGAGTTTTGAGTGTGTTTTCTGGAAAATTGGCCCAAGAGGATCGAATTTATGGTTTGAAAACTTGGTTTTGAGCTTGAGGTTCAAATCTGGAATTTCCAGAATATGGACTCACGCTCGAGCGGGGTGACTGGCGCTCGAGCGTGGAAATCGTGCTCCCAGCATTTTTGTTCTGTTTTGAAGTCCGCTCGAGCGGAATAATTGACGCTCGAGCGGGACATTGTGTCTCATGCTCGAGCGGGTGTCGAGCGCCCAATCGAGCGTGATTTTCGCCTATCCAGCAACTTTTGACTGTTTTGCAGAACGCTCGAGCGGGTAATCCTACGCTCGAGCGGAAACCTTTGTCTGCATTTCCGCTCGAGCGGAGTAATCTACGCTCGAGCGTGACCCATGTTTTCTGAAAATTCTGAAAATGCTTTTAAAGTGCATGTTTACATCCTCATCTCATTCTATGCATCCTTAGGCCTAGTTTAAGACATCTTAAGGAGGATATAGATGTAGAAACACACCGAGGCATTAGGGATTAAGTTGTTATCTTTCCCAACTATGTAGCTTAGCGTGTGTTCAATCTGTTAACTGTGTAGGGTTGGTGACTGGGGAGACGCGCTCTAGCTTTACTGTAGCCCAGAACTCTGTGAGTAACGATTGTGTAAAGATATGTTCAAAAATGACTATTTTCTGAACAAATGAACTGTACTGTTTCTGAATTGAATACTGTTAATTGAATGAATGTATGTCCTGTATATTGAACTGTATTGTGGCATCCTTGGCACCTACTGTTTACTGTTACTGTTACAGAGATCTCTGTCGGTTCCCTTGTTGGAACCACTACTGTTTACTGACTGATGGCCATCACTACTGTTCGGTCTTTTAAGACCTACTGTTTACTGTACTGTTATGTTAATGGATGTATCACATATGACCGTACTGACTGAACGACTGAAATACTGAATCAATGAACTGTTTTCATTACTGTAAGGACATTCATTCTTAACCCCTTTACGCATTGTGTTATTTACTGGGCATTAGCCCTGTTTGGTAGAGCTGTGGGAAAGTGCTTATAGCTTATGCCTAAACAGCTTATAGCTTATAACTTTCAGCTTAAGCTGATTTCCAGCTTATTCTTAAAGCATCTCCTGCCCCACTCAAAGAATAAGCTGATTTCTGACTTCCACAAAGCTATAAGCTATAAGCTATAAGCTAAACCAAACATATCAAAATAGCTTAAATTAAGCTGAAAGCTGAAATAAGCTGTAAATAATTTCTGCCAAACAGGCACATTAACTCACTGTTCATATATATATGTAGGTGTGTAGGCACCAGACCGCGGCTAGAAGCGTCGAGATAGACTCCAGCTTTGTCAAGCCAACCTACGTGCCTCACTGCGAGGTTCTGAACCTGCCATGCTTTGGCTTAGGGGTCTTTTTTTTATTCTCCCCTTCTGTATTGTTTTGAGAACTGAATAGAATGTACTGTACTGTACTGTTAACAGGGATTGGATCCCTGATCGGGAAGATTGTACATTTATACATACTGTTTTGTCTGACTGTATATCCTTGAATGAAAAGTCTTTTTGCATACAGACTGTCACAGCTCATTGGGCATTGTCTATTTACTGTATTGGCTTCCGCTAGCCCCTGTACTCTGTATTACTGTATTACTGTTAGGCAGGCCTTCGGTAATCTCAGATTACTGGCCTGTTATGGGACTAAACCCATAGGGGTGGGTTTGGGTCGTGACAATAGCAATATTAAACATAGCTTTAATATTTTAATTATTTTTAGCTAGATTAAATAAAAATTTGTTTTATTTTATTTTTTGCACAATATTTTAATTATTTTAATTTATTATTTTCAATTAAATTAAATTTATAATTTATAATTTATATTTTTTATTTAATATATAATTTTAAATTAACGACAATAAAAAATAATTTTATTTAATATATAAATTAAATTTTCAACAGCACTAAAAAAATTTAATTTATAAGGTCATAATTTATAATTTATTATTTTTAAATTAACAACACTAAAAAAATAATTTAATTTAATATGTAAATTTAATTTTTTAACAACATTAAAAAAATTTAATTTATAAGGCCATAATTTATAATTTATTATTTTTAATTAAATTTAATTTATAATTTATAATTGAAATTTTTTATTTAATATATAATTTTAAATTAACAACACTAAAAAAATAATTTATAAATATTCATGAGACTATTTTATCATTTTCTAATTATTTGCTAAGTAATAGCATGAGGGTAAAATGGACATTTCACAAAATAATTCATGGGATACCAATCCCATGATTTCTATCCCACCTCCCCCCATGGGATATGATAGTCCCTTATTTGTGGGACTAATAGTCCGGAGCAAAAAAAATAAAACAAACAATAGACTCCTAGTTCGGTGGAATTAATAGTCTAATCCCACCTCCTAATCCTTCAAAAACAAACACACCCCTAGGGTTTTATTACGTCACAAGGGAAACATGTCCTCTACTTGGAAACAAAATGGCATCACTTTAGGAATGAAAACAAAAACAAGAAAAAGAATTATTTCTTAACACAGAGGACATGAGTCACTCTTAGGAGCTTATGAGACCACAAAATGTGTATGGTTTCATATCATTTCAACTTGGCCAGCTTCCTTAGGCACCGCCACTTCAATATCATTATACGTCGAATACCTTGAATTCTCGGGTCTGTCACCTTGACCCCAAATAGCATAGGCTTCCTCACCATGCGCAGCTTCGTCACCGATCTCCATATCTTCTTCAGACATTCTCAGAGGCACGATAAGTTGCACCAGAAGACATATTAGGCTCGTGATGACAACATTAACTCCTATTACAAATAATATACCGATAATCTGAACCAGTACTTGTCGAACTCCTAGGGAGGCTTTTCCATCACCAGCGAAGCCATGGAATAACCCAACGTACTTGCCATACTTGCCGTAGAACAACTTACTTAGCTTTGGTTTAGCAAAGAGACCAGTGAGGATTCCTCCGAGGCTCCCTGCAATAGCGTGCGTGTGAAAAACACCCATTGTATCGTCGACTTTTTGAAGGAGCTCAGATTTTTTGTGGACTACCATCATGGTGAACCATGGAATGGAGCCCGAAAAAATTCCCATTATTATGGCTGCCCATCCTTGTACAACCCCTAAATAAAAAAGTGAATTTTTTTTCAAGTCATGTGAAGGTTTATAACATGTAAAAAAATGTAACACATTTGTGAGTTCTCAAGTTAGTGAAAGTACCGGCTGCAGGGGTGATGCAAACTAAACCGGTTATCATGCCTTGTACTGCACCAATTACAGAAGGTTTACGAAAGAAGATGATGTCGAGGATGAGCCATGTCAGCAAGCTAGTTGCGGCACAAACGTGTGTGTTCAAGACAGCTAACGAGGCATCGATGCTAACAACATATGGGTCCCCTCCATTGAACCCGGTCCAACCCATCCATAGCAATCCCGCTCCTGCTAACATCAAAAGGATGTTGTTTGGGGGAAATCTTTCCCTGTCTTTCGTTAAACGAGGACCAACCTGCAATGTAAAAAATAAAATTAAACTGGTGTATTCAAAAGGCGATATTAGCATCAATTCAAAACACGAGGCTGTAATTGGGTATGATAGATACTACATAGGCATTTCAAAATTGTTTTTGCTTTCAAAAGCAAAAAATTACTTGAAACAAATATTACTATAAGAACATTCAAGAGAAGGCAAAAAATGGAGGAAAATATAAAAGAAAAAAGCTAGTATTCGATACCCAATATGCTGCGGTGAAACCGGCTACTCCAGAAGATAAATGGATGACATAACCACCGGAATAATCTATGACTCCCAACTCTGCTAGAAAACCTTGTGGACACCAAATGCTATATGCTCCAACGGTGTATGAAAAGGTTAGCCACAAAGGCACAAAAAGCATCCACGCATAAAAATTCATCCGACCCAACAAGGCCCCGGCAATCAAAATCAAAGTGATAGCTGCGAAAACAAATTGGAAAAACACCATCGTCGCGTTGGGAAACATCCCCTGAAAGGTCTGGTGGAGGAGGTATCCTTGGTCCAATGCAAGATTTGCCTTTCCCCAGATTGGAATGAGTTGATCACCAAAAGACATTCGATATCCCCACCCAACCCAACAAACTAGAACACAAGCAAAAGCATAGAGAGCCATAAAAGCTGAATTCACAGCCCATTTCTTCTTCACAGCCCCTCCATACAAAATTATCAGGCCCGGGACACTTTGGAGCCCGACAAGTGTCGCTGCAACGAGCTGCCACGCATTGTCACCCTTGTTCATCCATTCAGGGCTCGCATCATCGGGTATCAAGTTTGAAGGGAGAGGAGTGAAGGCGGTAGAATTCATCGCTTATTGCTCTGAAAACTAGCCGGCAACAATCTATATACGATGGTTGTGTTTTTCAGGTCATGATGCTTTGGGATTATATATAGCTTAGAATTGGATGAGTTGATTCCGATGAAAAAAGCTGTCACTGCGAAGCTATCTTTGTTGTCATTGATAAAGCTTTTTGTTAACATGTTGTTTTTTAGTTTGTTTTTGCCATTGGTCTCTTCGCTAAGATACGTTTCAAAACTTTGGTATATACTTATGATACAACATTTGAATGACAATTACAATGTATTCACCCAAAAAGACAATTACAATGTAATAATGTTGTTGGGACATCAAATTAGTATCTCCAGCATACTCATTTTCCATAGAAATTGGCACCAGGTTGTTTATTATTTTAATGAATGTAGATTTTGTCTTTTTGGATGCTTTAGCTTTGTGACCATACATTTCCTTCAAAGAAATTCACAAGCATGAAACATAATGCAACTACCTGGATAACATAATACATAATTGGCCCAACCAAGCAAAATGGGATGAGTTCTTGGATTTCCATCTAAAAGTACTTGTTTAGACATGCTGTTCACGTAACCAAACAGTAGCATAGTACCGTTTCATAACATGAAATTGCAGATTTAACTCTCTATAGAGAAGTTTGATATTTTTGCGATGTTTATTTTCTTTCATTATAGAAATTGTATATAGTTGTTGTTTAGGCTTGTGGTGGTTGTTAGGGTGGGTGACTGTTGATTTTAATTATGGTTGGACTTCATTGATCAATTTGATGTAATGCTTCTCATATCAGATCACATATTTGGCTATCTCCAAATAAATTGTTTTTTTTTACTTACAAACCTAAAGCTAACAAACCTGTTTGGTTTGGCTAAATCTAATCCAAATAACCACTTTGCAGATTTGTGTAAAGACAATTTTACCACAATAGTTTGAGAAATTCAATCATGGCCTTTTTAAAAACAAGGGCTTCACAACACTATAAAAATAATGTGGTAATTTCTCACAAAAAAATAAAATAAAATAAAAGTTTAAAAAGACCAACAAAACTTTCTTCGAAACAAAAAAATAACTCTTTAACAATTACCAAATTCATTAACATATTTTAGATTTAAGATTAAAAAAAAAAATTACTAAAAAATAATTGCCAAACCCTACCTTAGTGGAATACATACACCAACAAATTCTCAAGTTCTTTTTTTTTTAATCAATTAAAATAAAATAAATCATGTATCTCAAAGAGCATTCTAAAAATTAAATGTGTAGTATAGAAATTTAATGTGACATCTAAATAAATATTGCCCATACATATATATTTTGGGACACTTTTTCATAAATCTCTTTTTATCTACTTATATTTCATTTAGTCCATATTATTTTTTTATATTCCAATAAGTCTTATGAGCGATATAATTACCAAAATACCCCTAATAATATTCACATTTACAGTGTGAATGTTTCATGATGTGAATGTTCACACCATCAATGTGTATGTTAACATGTCAATATGAATGTTTACACTGTCAATGTGTACATTCACACGTCAATGTGAATATTCACATTATAAAATAAGAATGTTCACATCACCAAATTGCTAACCGTTCAAAAAATATTTGTAACGGTAAAAATGTCCATAAAATACTTAATATGAAAATTAGGATTTGGTAGATCAAATGTTCAAATAATAGAACTTATTGGAATAAAAGAATATTTTATAGACTAATTGGGATACAAACACTTGAAAAAATGGTTTTCTAATAAATTTCCCATATATTTTCTGGATAATTTTTATAATATTATTTTTTCTTATTGCGTAATATAGTTGATTGGAATAAAGTGGTGTATGCAACCTTTACACCAAATGTTAATAAAATTTTACTATTATTTTTGGAAAAAGTTTTACACTATTTTTTTTTTTTTGGGTCCCTCACTCACTATTCATAGCACTTGTAGCTCTGGTCAGATAATTAATTTTAATTATTATTAATTTTTTAAAAATTAGGGGTGTACATGCATCAGATTGGTTCAATTTTAGAATAAAACCATTTCTTATAATTTCAGAAAAATTAAAATCGTAACCGAACCGTTAACCTATGAAACTAGACTGGGACCGAACCATAGAAATTGGTTTTGTTCTGTTTGATTTACGATTCTAGAAATTTTATATAACAATAAATATGATAAGTATTTTATGTTAATAAACAAATTAATAATAATTAGTTTGGCTAAATTAGTTAGAGTTTTTTAATTTCACAATGATGGTTAGTATTCAAATTTTATAAGAAACAATTTATATTTTAAATTTTTTTATAAAAAAAATATAAAAAACAATAAACAATAAACAAATATACCATGGTTTGGTTCGAAATCATAACCAAAGTCTTGGAATCCATAAATGGACCTATTTTTTTTTTATAGATATATCATTTTTAGAATTAAAATCAGATCTGTAACTAAAAAAATAAACGGAGCTGCTACGTAACTTGAAAAACGCTTGGCCCGAAATGGCTTGAATTCAAAATGACGTCGTTTTGGAGTTTTTTTTTTTTTTTTTTTTTTTTTTTGGAGTTTTTTTTTTTTTTTTTTCTTTCTTTCTCTTTTCTCATCTGTTTCTTCTCTCTTTCTTCTTCTTATTATGTTCAATGAACAATGTTCATTTCTCCATTTCTTCATCTCTTTCTCTCCCTCTGTTCACAATCACCAAATTGAAATCAATTTTTTTTTTTTTTTTTTTGCCGGTCAACAATCTACAAAGAAGAAGAAGAAAGAAGAGAAGAGGAGATACATTATCAATCAGCCACCAGTTTTCCAATCAAACCCAAAAATCTAAATCAAAACCAAACATCAACGACAACAACACATCATCATCATCATCATCAACACACACAGATACACAGATAAAGAGAGCCAACAGTCTACCAATCAAACCCAAAAATCAAAATCAAAATCAAAATCAAACATCAACAACAACACATCATCATCATCAACACACATAGATACATAGAGAAAGAGAGCCAACAGTCTACCAATCAGACCAAAAAATCTAAATCAAAACCAAATATCAACAACAACACATCATTATCATCATCATCATCATCATCAACACACACAGATACAGAGAGAGAGAGAGGTACACAGATCTATGCTGGTGATAATGCCGGTGATTGTGCTCTGGTGCTCATCTTCCCTGTTCTCTCTTCCTCTCTTGCCAGTGACGGCAGTGCCGGCGATGGTGCTTTGGTGCTCTCTCTTTCCCCTCCCTCTTCTCTCTTCCTCTCTCCTTTTCTCTTTTGCTTTCTTCTTTCTCTTTATCTTTTTGTTTCAGCGATATAAGAGGGAAAAGGAAAAAAAAAAAATAAAACCAAAACGACGTCATTTTAGATATTCGAACTATCTTGAGCCAAGTGCTCCTCAAGCTACCAAGAATTATCCAAAAATAAAATAAAATCAACGATTTAAATCGGATTGGATCGATTTACCGACTCATTGATTTTTTGAACAGTCCTATTTAAAATTATTTTCCCATTAAACTATTGGGCCTCTTACAAAAGGCACATGATCATTTCTGGCCCAGATAGTGTGTGTATATATATATTCTTCTATATGTATATATTGATTCAGGGTTTAACGTTGTAGGAGGAAGCAACTGATGGGTTTTACTTCTCCATTGCAACGCCTCTAATTCTCTTCTGTGCTCTCTGGAATCTCTGAAACGAGGTTCTGAGACTCGCTAATCTGAGTTAACCAGGACGATTTCGACTCACAAATGTACAGAAAGAGAGCTACACTCCTCACCATCAACTCTGTTACATTCGCAGCCTTGTCTGAGGTACGTAGATCACGCAATTCCTTGTATTCTATTAAAGCCTTTGGGTTTGTGAGAAATCTCAGCACTGCAACTGAAAGATTTGATTTTCAAAACCCTAATGGGTCTACTGGTGAAAAATGTGTAGAATATCAACAAAACCCTAGCGGGGTTTATGGTGAAAATCCAAACCATGTAGAGTTTCAGCAAAATCCAAATGGGTTTTATAAGGGAAACGCAATAGGGGTTCAGAAAAGCCCTAGAATTGGATTTCAAAATAACCCTGTTGGGCAAAATGGGAATTTTTCTAGTGGGTATTGTAGAGAAAGCAACAGAAATGAATTTCAGGGGAACCCAATTGAGCAAAAGGGGAACTTTAGGAGTAATTATGGTGGATATAACATGGAGAGTTTGGGGACTTCACTGAAAAGTTCAAATGGGTTGTCTGGAGAGCACATGAGTGTACAAAATCCATATGGGTCTTATAGAGAAGGGCAATTAGTAGTTCAACAGAATCCAAATGGATTTCATGGACAGAGTAAGTTAGGGTTTTCAGGAAGAGTGAATGGGCATTATGGAGAAAGTGTTGGACAATTTCAGCGGAGTGCAAGTGATGATTACTCAGGAAACACTGGAGTGTCTCAGCAGAAGACAAATAACTACTCCCTGGGAAACACGAGAACTACCCAACAAAGTCCTGATAACTATTACTCGCGAGGCACCGAAATGTCTCAGCAGTACCCACACAACTATTCCAGGAGCAAGGATGGAACTAATTGGCAAAATCCAAGTGTGAGTGGTCATTACTCAGGAAACACTGGAGTATCTCAACAAAACCCAATTAACCCTTACATGGGAAACACAGGAATGACCCAACAATACCCTGGTAACTATCGCCCAGGAAGCACCGGAATATATCAGCATGGCACGGGTACCCAGTATGCAGGCAGCGATGGAGTGTACCAGCAAAGCACAAGTGGGTACCTTGGAGAGAGTGCTGGAACTCCAAATAGGTATGCAATGCAAAATATTGGAGAAGATCGTCAGAACCCGAGTGGAATTTACAATGCTAATACTAATGCTGGGACTTACCAGAATATGTCAAACGAGTTGCAGAGTGGAATGATGGATTCTCAAGTATCAAATGATTATAAAGCTGGTGGAGAATCAGTTGAAGCTGCAGAAAGTAGACAATATAGTGGCACTGTTGAGGAGTTGGATGGTTTTTGCAAGGAGGGCAAACTAAAGGAAGTTGTGGAATTGTTGGGATTATTAGAGGGGAAGCATATCCCAGTGGATTTGCCCCGATACCTAATGTTGATGAAGGCATGTGGGGAGGCCAAAGCTCTACAGGAAGCAAAATATGTTCACGAGCATCTCATGAGATCAGTTTCCATTCCAGAAGTCAGCACTTATAACAGGATCCTAGAGATGTATGGAAAATGTGGTTCCATGGATGATGCATTTACAGTGTTTGATAAAATGCCACGGCGCAATCTGACTTCTTGGGACACCATGATAACTTGGCTTGCCAATAATGGTCATGGAGAGGATGCTATTGAATTGTTCACTCAATTCAAGAAAGCAGGACTGAAACCTGATGGGGAAATGTTTTTTAGGGTCTTTTCTGCTTGCAGTGTCTTGGGGGATGTAATTGACGGAATGTTGCACTTTGAATCTATGAGAAAGGATTATGGCATTGTTCCATTGATGGAGCATTATGTGAGTGTAGTGGACATGCTCGGAAGTGCAGGGTATTTGGATGAAGCGTTGGAGTTCGTTGAAAAAATGCCAGTGGAACCGAGTGTAGAAGTTTGGGAAACTTTGATGAATCTTGGTAGAGTTCATGGGAACACAGAGCTTGGCGATCGTTGTGCTGAGCTTGTTGAGCTCATGGACCCCTCTCGCTTGAATGAGCAATCGAAGTCGGGCCTTATACAAGTGAAAGCTCCAGACCTTGCAAAAGAAAAGGAGAAGAAGAAATTGGCAAATGAAAATCTTCTTGCAGTCAGGAGTAGGGTTCATGAGTATAGAGCTGGAGACAGATCTCACCCTGAGAATGATAGGATCTATGCACAACTTAGGGGGATGAGGGAGCAGATGAAAGAAGCTGGTTATGTGGCAGAGACTAGATTTGTGCTCCATGACATAGACCAAGAAGGTAAAGAGGAAGCTCTTCTTGCTCATAGCGAGAGACTTGCTGTTGCTTATGGTTTCCTAACCACCCCTGCTCGTGCGCAAATTCGGATAATCAAGAACCTTCGTGTTTGTGGTGACTGCCATAGTGCATTGAAGATCATTTCAAAGCTGGTTGGCAGGGAACTTATCATACGAGATGCTAAGAGGTTTCACCATTTCAAAGATGGATTGTGTTCTTGCCGTGATTATTGGTGAATGAATCCTTTTGAGGTACTATTTATCAATTCTCCTATCAATCTTTTCCTAGATTTAACTATGGATATGGATATACTTTTTGGCAAGGACATCAATGTTATATTACGATGGATTTTCTTATCTCATTTTTCTTTTTTTGTATTTATGTAATTTGTTGGTTTAATTGGTCATGGTCTGCTAATCAAGTTTCGATTTTCTATCTTCAGCTTTTCTATGGTTCCCACACAAACTTTTTTTCTTCTTATTTTTATTTTATAACCTCACTGTTTTGTGTTGAAACTTCAAATATGATTAACTATTGACAAAATTTATTAAAATATGATGGCAAGATAAGTGCTCATTTGGTATCATTTTTGGGTTTCTTGTCCATTCTCAACAAAAAAAAAAAAAAAAAAAAAAAAAAAAAGTTGTGGGTGCATGGACAAAAAAAAGAAAAAAAAAGAAAAGGAAAATGACATGGAAAGCTTGTTTGGCAAATTGTTTCTAAAAAAGTTTTTGGGAAAATTTTCTGAAGACACTCCATCCATTTTAGGCAATACTTCTGAGTTGGTTTTTTGAATTTTTGGAAATTGTTTTTGCACATAAATGGAAACAATGGGTGTTTTCGAACTTTTCATTGCTTGTGTTTCTGAATTGGGCTCTGGTAATTGCAATTGGATGCCAATATAGTAGTGTATGTTGAAAACTTGGGTTTTGTACTCTTTTGAATCGATATCTACTTATTTTGGACATTTGTTTAAATTTAAAGCAGACCTTCATTACTTGGGGTTGGTTTATGGCTGTGCTAATCCTTATTTGAACCCAATATTTTATATATATGTGTATATAATTTTTTTTGTTTCCAATCTCACTATGTCAACACTGCATGCTTTTTCCTCTTCAATATTTGCAAATTTGATTTTTTTGGGGAGTTAAAATTGATGTCACACTGGAAGCCCCGGTAGTGATTATTGAACTTAAAGATACTCTGTCACTACTTTGACCTTTCTTTTTTCTTTTCTTTTTTTGATAACTGGGAACCGTGTCCTAGGTAGGGTCCTTTGGGCCAACCTAGGAGCGTAGACCCAAGAATCAAGCGACTCCCCCTAATCACATGATTTGGGCAAACGAGAGGTGCCGACAATCGAACATAAGTCGTGCATGTGGGTGAGCAAATCCTCTGCCAACTATCCTACCATTGCTTTCTGTTGCCAATATTGCTTTATTTCTTTTCCAAACATATCTTAAGACATTATTGGTCTATTCTCTTATCCAAACATATCTTAAGACGTTATTGTCTATTCTGCCTGGAAGAGAAAACACTAAAATGTGGGCTTGGATTAAAGAAACCTTAATAGTAGGCCTTCTATGTAGTGTGACATTTGACTAGTTTTGTTGATTTGAGTATAGGTTGCAATGCTATCAATTAAAGTGGGTCGTGCTAATGACCGCTCAATGGTTGTTCGTTAAGAAATATATGATGCTAGAAAAACTAGAATTCACATATTCCCATGCACTTGTTTATACATTTTAAATATATTTCAATACATTTTTTACATGCATACCAAATAAGAAGGAAAATTCTATTCTTATATAAAGTTCATACGAAAAAATTGACAAGGATGATGTGACAATGCCATTATTGTAAATAAATCCATCTTCAATGATGTTTTGTTTTGAAATGAAAGGTTCACAATAAGCCGCATCATTATGTATGAATTTTTTGTTTGTATAGCATTACTCAAATAAGAAATGTTATCATTTACATTGAAGCTAAAAATTTAGATACATTCTGATTCTTTTACTTTTCAAAGAAGGAAAAAAAAAAATGGAGGTGGAAGAGTTAGGTGCATTCTGGTTCAAATTTAAGCACCTAAAATGTCGAGTTTGGTGGAATGCATACACTGGTGTTATTGGTGTTTCGCTGGTGGTGATGGTATAATATATGCCCATGGTTTTCATTTGTTGTTTCTTGTACTGGGCCTTAACGCACCAACTTGATCCTAGCTCTCCGTCCTCGAGGATTATTTTCAGTGGGACGACAACTTATCCAGTCCAGATAAGATATCCAATCCCCATTTGCAACCCAAACACCGGATAAGTCGGCCTCTAGGATTAATATTCCAATCCTCCCCACCCCCTTCTCATCCCTGTACCAAACAAACGTATATGAGCCGGTAAGTGTTACTAAATTATGCAAATACTAAAAATCTTATAATGTAAGGCCATGTTTGTTTGGGCGGACTGGATTAGCATTCCCATGACTAATAATCCTAGGATAACCAATCCGTTGGATTATGTATCCTATCTTAACTAATAGTAAGTGTAAAATAATTAATCCGTACTTGAATTGTTTAACCAAACATCGGATTAATAATTTTATTTAAAACTCTCTCTTTTGTGTATAAAAACACAACCTTTGATGTACTCTCTTTAAATCATGAGTTGAATACTCAATAAAACATCAAAGAAAACTAACAAAATATCTCCAGATATAATCCTTACAACCTTTGATGTACTCTCTTTAAATCATGAGTTGAAGACTCAATAAAAATATCAAAGAAAATTAACAAAATATCCCCAGATATAAACCTTAAGAACCAAAAAATAAGATCTGGAGAACTTCAATCAATTACTTAGTTTAGGGAGAAAACCAAGTATTTATAGAGAACCAAAAGTAATCCTAGATTGGGAAGAAAACAAACTTCTTGAGAAATCCGGATTCTGAGGTTCGCTCGAGCGAAGCTTTTCTGGCTCGAGCGAGCAGTGTATTTTTCATGATTTCTACTAGTGCCTTGGCTCGAGCGACGGATCCTTGGCTCGAGCGAGGAATACACTTTTTCAGGTTTTTGTATGGACGCAATCCTTGGCTCGAGCATGCATTCCTTGGCTCGAGCGAGTAAGCCCTAGCTCGAGCGAGAATTCCTTGGCTCGAGCGAGCAACGACGGACATGCAATTTTGAATCCAATTTTGCATTTTGCTTCGGCCGCGAGCTGACCGGGAGACCCCCGTAATAATCAGCGAAGTGGCAATCTTGAAAGTATTAACATCACAAACTTCTCTGCATGGTTTGATTCGGGTTTGGATTCGCATCTAATAAACTCATAGCCTCACTGAAATAAAAGTGCGAAAATAAATACATCTGAAAGGAGTTTTGTCAAACGGGGTTGCCAAGAATAAAAACCTAACATAATATATGCCCATGGTTTTCATTTGTTGTTTCTTGTACTGGGCCTTAACGCACCAACTTGATCCTAGCTCTCCGTCCTCGAGGATTATTTTCAGTGGGACGACAACTTATCCAGTCCAGATAAGATATCCAATCCCCATTTGCAACCCAAACACCGGATAAGTCGGCCTCTAGGATTAATATTCCAATCCTCCCCACCCCCTTCTCATCCCTGTACCAAACAAACGTATATGAGCCGGTAAGTGTTACTAAATTATGCAAATAGTAAAAATCTTATAATGTAAATGACATGAACACAAAAACAGGATTGACTTTGTCAGTCTGTATCCACCTAGCTGCTTGAGTGAGAAAATTTCAGTATACCTAAAAGCCCAATTATCCACCTGTATTTTGAGTTAATCACATTGTAGTGTATTGTTGGAGGCATCCAGACTAAGAATGGGGCTCACAATGAGCTAATCACATTGTGCTTATGGTTGTCACTTTCTTCAGCTAATGACATTATTGTGCTATACTGAAGTTTTCACCAAATTATTAGTGTCTATTATACTATAATTAGGGTTATACTCTGTTTTTGATGTAACGTGGGATTTGATTTGCAGATACATTTAATTTAGATCTTACCAGAAAAAAGAACCACAAGCATGCCTTACAAGGAAACTGATGAGGAGAGTGATAAAGTGCACGTATGAAGCATCTTGCAAGCGACTTAAATTTTTTCATGAGGTTTGAATAGCCTGAGCCTTTTGCATTTGCATTAATGGCGAGGTGAATAGTACTTAGATGTCATGCAGCGAGGTTCTGAATTATTTATTAACCTGCTGTTTGGAAACTTATTATTTCTTGGTCTAGTCACTAGCCTGATATAATTTATTAACCTGTTGTCAATATATTGAAAACTCTTCAATTTATATTACGAGTATACATGATTCGAATCCGAAGTTCAGAGATGATCATTGCTTGCCTGTGAACTTGTTATTGTTACCATATGTGGAATGAATGAGAATCAACTTTGAATGCCGTGTTCTACTCAATATACAGGAGGGCTATGTGTAATTCAGTGGTGAGCTTTCAAATTTTGTTTAAATATATATGAAATTTTGTTTAATAGTTTTGGATTTTAACAAAATGACCCCAGTGTTTGGAGCTATTCATTGTTTAGTGGTGTCAATTTTAACAAAATGACCCCAATGAATCTAGATAAATATTATATATATCACATATATTTGGAGCTATTCATTGTTTAGTGGTGTCAATTTTAGTTCAGTGTTCATTCATTCAATTGTTGCATCAACGCTTCATTCCCTAACAACTATTGTTGCATTGCCATTGATGCATTCTTTCATTTGTTCTCTTTTTCTCCCTCTGAATGACCCCGCTGAGGGGAATTCCTGACTACGCCACTGACAATATATATATATATATATATAATGAATAACAATGGAGTTGGAAAACTTGCCTAGTGGTATGCAAAAAAAAAAGAGTAGAAGGCTGTGTTTGGTTGCGTTTTCAAAATATATTTCTGCTCTCCCATTTGCGCTTGACGTTTGGATACAATTTTCTAAATATAGTTCCACCATACAGTTCAAAATGCATTTGCACATTCCGTTTGGTAGATTTCTCCGTTCATTTCTCCACTATGAAAAACTTCCAGACGTACATCTCTCTCTTCTGTCAAAAGCCCTAGTGGTATGCAAAAAAAAAAAGAGTAGAAGGCTGTGTTTGGTTGCGTTTTCAAAATATATTTCCGCTCTCCCATTTGCGCTTGACGTTTGGATACAATTTTCTAAATATAGTTCCACCATACAGTTCAAAATGCATTTGCACATTCCGTTTGGTAGATTTCTCCGTTCATTTCTCCACTATGAAAAGCTTCCAGACGTACATCTCTCTCTTCTGTCAAAAGCTTCCAAATGGTGAGCATGAGGGAAGCAAGTTTTCAAATGGCGTGCATAAGGATAGCCAAAGCTCAGTCTGAATTTTAATCTTGCTGGAAGTTGGGAATAGGCGCAGTCGGTTGACCGGCCGGATGACCTACCGGTTGACCCCTGGTTGACCGAATTGGCGCCTTCAATTCGTTAGAGAACCTGTGAATCAGCCTCAAAGAGAATGTCACTCCCATTACACATATCACTAGAAGAACCGCCATTACAACCCTGAGCAAACACTGAGTCACCATCGCGACTCCAATCAAAAACTCGAATAAGAAAAAAATTCAAAAAGGAGATGCAAAAATCAAGGTTCTTCGGGCTGTAAACAAGCTTCCAAAGCGAGATCTAGCTTTCTCCGATCATGTACTCGATGCTAGAAGAGTACAATGCTAGAAGAAAGAGAAATGAGAGAGAAATAGAATGGAGTAGAGCTGAGAAGGAAATATATATATATAGATAGAGAGAGAGAGAGATGGATAGATATATAAAGATAAATGCAAGTATTAGAGAGAGAATGGAAGTATATATCTATATATATATAGAGAGAGAGAGAGAGCAATGGAGAAGTTTGGAGGAGGAAGGTAAAGTAAGGAGATCTGCAGGTTTTAAGTGGATAAATTATACATTTTTTTTACTCTCATCCTCCAAGTTTCTATCTTGGTTTCTTTTTTATTTTTTTAGTTACAATTATTTCAAACTTTAGAAGCTATTTAGCATATTTATTTGATATAAATTAAATAAGTGAACCTATCTAAATGAGTGTATATCTGAATCATATCATCTTTTTATTTTTTTATACATTTTTTCTTAAAATAGTTAAAATATATATTTATTTAAATTATTCCAAACAATTCTTTACTTGAATCTCATTTAAAAATAGATAATTTTAATTAAACTATTTGTTACAATTTTAACTTTTGCCTTTAATTAACTTGAAATAACATATTTGACGTTTGAAAAACAAATTATTTGAAAAAACAAACTAATTGAAAAAAAATTATTTGAAAAAACAAATTAATTGAAAAAAAATTATTAATTCATTTTCTGAATTGAATTTTAAAAAGAGTTTGATTATGAATGTTGATCAAAAATTTCAATTGAGTTTTGAGTTGTGTGTTTGATTATGATTTATAGCTTTTTGAATTAAGTTTTGAAAACTCATAAAAAAAATCATAACCAAACAAATTTTCTTACTTCACATGTCACATTAAACTTTCAGAACTCAATTCCACACTTAATTCAAAATTCAATTCAAAACTCTATTAAAAAATTATAACCAAACAAATTTTCTACACTCAAATCATAATTTCAAAACTTACAAATTCAAAATACAACTCCTATTCTCAAATCATATTTAAAATACTCTACCAAACGCTACCGAAAACTTTCTAGTGAACTCTCTTTGAAATTTCAATTAGCTGTTCAAATCTAGCCATGTTGGTTTGATACTTTTATAAGAACTATGCTGGCTTAATGATTTTAGGCATGAGTTGTATATGTAAATATACATTCAAAAAAAAAAAAATGGGGTCTATTTTCTAGGTTCTTTCTTAGTGTGAAAATTTTAATTTTGTTATTTTTATTGATTTACTTAGTTTTTAGTTTATTTTTTCAAATTAGAAGTGGTGCATGCTTGGTGAGATTGACCATACTTATAAGATTGAGACACAAAAATAATAAATGAGGAAATAAGGATGGTCTTTGTTTGCCAACGTTATTGTAAACAAAACCTTACTTCCAATCTAATAAATATATGTTTAGCAAAGTTCAATATAGAGACTCTTTATATACTTATTTTTCCCTCGTAAATTAAATATGATGATGGTGTCATTACATCCAATTTGTAACTAAACCCAGTTTAACATTTACATTCAAAGTTTAAGGAGAGAACAGACATGCTTTTTTATGTGCAAGATTCTTTTCTGAATAATTCTAAAACTGTTAACAAAAATTTATTTTGTAAACTTTTAATAAATATTTATTTATATACTTATTTTTTTATGTGCAATCTTTTTTTTTTTTTTTTATAATTATCACATACCTCTTTCTGGCTAATGTCTCTTCTATTTATATCTTTTCTTCATTGGACCTCATAGTTTAATACTAGAGGGAAAAATGCAATGGCAATTTTATAAATAAATAAATACGAACAAACAAAATTAGTAAAGAAATAAGAATAAAATAAATTGGTAAATTACCCTCGTCTTTTCAATTATGTTTAACTTCAGCCTCTTATCTACATTTCTTTCACTTTAACCATTCATTTGTAAATATATATACATATATATATTAATATTTTAAAGGAAACTTATACCTGAAAAGGTTATTTAGGAGATATCATAATTTTCTAGTCATTTATTTTATTTTTATTTATCATTTCAATCATTTTCTTTGATCCGAGCACCACATTTAAGTAAAAAAGGGTTTTTAATTCCAAACCTTATGGGAGTTTCAATATGCCAATCATAATTTCCTGATTTTTTGATTAAAAAAAAAAAAACCTTAACATCTATTGATTTGGTCAAAATTTTCTGATCAGTATTTATTAACTTTTTTCAATCCACATGTCTTTTCACATGCCTACATTTATTGATTTGGTCAAAATCTTCTAATCAGCATTTAAAATCTCCTCATACAAATAACTATAGATACAATCCATGCATAGTTATTGCAGTACCTATTTCAACTTCTCTCATACACTATGGTTAGTGATAAGATTGTTAAATTATTTTTATAAAAAATCTTAAAAAATATAATTTATACATTAAAAAATCTAAAACAAATATAAATACCTATAATTATTCCATGCATAACACGGGTGATAGGCTATCTATACTATATATTAAGCAAAATGAGGTTTTTTAACCCCAAGCCTTGTAGGAGCTCCAATCTGCCAATCTAAATTTCTTATTTTTTTATTTAAAAAAAAAATCTTGTAGTGTTTATTAACATCTCCCAACTCTCAAGTCTTACCCTCATAATAACACTTTAATGCATTAAGAACAAGCATAAAAAAAATTCTTTGAAATCCAGCACATATGAATTCCTTGAAAAATCCTAACACATATGATTATTATCCCTCATAATAACACTTTAATACATTAAGAACAAACATAAAAAAAATTTCTTGAAAAGTCCAATACATATGATTATTATCAAAATATTAAACTTTAATATAATATAAAAAAGGAAAAAAAGAAGACATTTAAAAAAAAAAAATTAAAAAATCACAATTCACATATATAGATAATTGTAAACACAATAAAATAGGAGAGCATTCATGTATACACGTTTTTTTTATAAGATCTCCTCTATTATAATAAGATAGCACTTTATTTCTCTCATCTTATAATCTATATATATATTATATTATATATTATCTATCTATACTATATATTAAGCAAAAGAGAGTTTTTAATCCGCAAGGTCTGTGGGAGCTCCAGTATGCTAATCCTAATTTTCTAATTTTTTGTTTTTTTTTAAAAAAAAATTAACCTTAACATTTATTAACTTTTTTCAACCCACAAGACTTTTTGACTTCTCTCATAATTACTGCAGTACCTTTTCCAAAACAAATAATTTGTATATTAAAAAAAATTTAAAACAAATATAAATATCTATATCTATATCTATCTATTTATTTATATCTATCTCTAACCCACAAATGAAAGAATTAGTAACTCTAAGTTCACATTCTCTTTAAAACGAAGGCAATAAAAATAAGAAAATAGAAGTAATGAAAGGAAGAACAAATAATATTGTGCCTGATTATCTTCTTTTCCAATTATATCGTTATTAGAGAAATCTGAAGCCACAGTTACACACCATAATCAATATTGCCTCTATAAACAGTCCAATCAACTATATTATATTATATTAAAGTTTAATATTCTGATAATAATCATATGTGCTGGACTTTTCAAGAAATTTTTTTTATGTTTGTTCTTAATGCATTAAAGTGTTATTATGAGGGAAAATGTGATTGTAATGTGATGTGATTGTAATGTGATGTGATTGTAATGTGATGTGATTGTAATGTGATGTGATTGTAATGTGATGTGATTGTAATGTGATGTGATTGTATTG